TTTCATTACTTTAGTTTAAAACAATCAACCAATCATTCATCAATTATCTAGATAAAATAGAAGTTGCATAATTATAGTACTTAGTGGAATTAAATTACAATCGATGTGGGTTCGACATCCTAACTTTCATACTATATTACAAAACTTGACACCGTACACTTGCGGCATAAATTCATGTTGTAGAAAACGCGTGATATCATACTTGAAGTCCAAGGGGTCCATGCATAAGTACGATACATATGAATTGTCATTTGCAGTGCATGTAAATGTTTAACATAATCAACGTTAAAAATTTTTATGCTGAATTTATATGTAATAAGTGTATGTGAAGCAGATCTAGGCATATGAAACGGTCCTCCTCTTGGTACTCGATTTTCCAGGCGAGGGAAAACACACTGCCTTCGAATGCATCATGGCAAGCATCCTAACAGACGGATGTCCATTTGGCAAATAATTATCAGCCCTCGTCGACGACCCTGAGGCAAGTATTACATATTGTAGATTTATATTGTATGTCGTTTCATAATTTCACCACATGATCATTAACTAGTTGAAATGTCAATATGTCAGCTTGAGGTCCTAATCGAGTTGACGTCGTCGATGGAGGAGGAGGGTCATGGTCTTGGGGGTGAATTAGCCGTTCTGCATACTCCACGAGACTAGGTGTTCGATTCTATCATAGTTCGAGATCGGGTAGGAGAATTGAATATAATTTATTGATTATCGTTTTGTATGAGTTAGCCTATTTCAATTAAGCTAATAATTTTATTTGTATATGAGCGCTGTCTAGTTGATCGTTGATCACCTTCGCCGTCGATGGGATCAACTCTACTGTCGATGTGATCTCATTCTCTTCCATCCAGGCACCTCCCCGTAGATCTCCTAGGCACAGTAATCTATACGATCTTCTGGCTGGAGATGAGGGAGGAGGTGGGCGTGCTAAGATGGGAAGTAGGGGCGCTGCAACGAGAGATAAGCGGTGAGATATCGATTTTACGTCAAAATGTTACGGTGCTCAGCAGCCATGTATCAGACATTGAGGTGGAGGTCGTAGTGCTCCAAGACGATATAGTAGGACTACGAAGGGATGATAGATAGGACGACGGAGAGGGTGATATACGGGGCGACTCTCCGTTGTGACCAGATACTGCATTTTGGGAGGAGGCGGAGACGGCCCCAATAATAGAGGTGGAGGTGCTAGAGACAGAGTCGGTGGTAGAGGTGGTGGATGGGGTGTCGGAGAAGGGGGTGGTCGAGGCGGTAGT